TTCCCTCAGTTTTCTTTATTGCTTAAAATGTAGACATAGTATATGGAGAAGAGAAGAATGTAGGTCCTCGATGGACGAGTGAGCAGCTGTTACCGCCTGGGAACATCTGTTTCGAGTGCCAGGACACACAAGAACAAGAAACCCTCTATGTTTAAGCTAGCCTTAATATTTCTATTATTTATAGCCCAATGCATTCTAAGTTCATATCGTTAACTCCTACTTTATTATAAAGCACATGCTGAGTCACTGAATGGATGTATGTAATACTATATGTAATAATACAGTTGGTGTCTTCTATGACCAATTCGAGATGATCTATCTTATCAAAAGAAATTTCTCTAATTTCATGTTAGAAAGTTCACAAGTTTACCTTGTATATTCATAAAGTGCTGGAACAATGCTTTGGTACTGTCTTCTGATAGCCAATAATGCACCAATATAACCACATAATATAAGCAATTCATTTCGAGCTCTGAAAGAAAATATGTATTTTTTAATTTCACAACTTGAGACACAGAACATTACTCTCATATATGGTTAAGGTACTGTGTCTATATATTCTGACAAAGGACATTTATAACAAAATATATTTATAAAATTTTCTAACCTTGAGGTGGATGATTTTTTATCAGTTAATTCCTATTTGTATATTTAAACTATGTCATAAATCATAATTTTAAATAAAAGATTTTAATAAACTTTAATTCTTTTATCTCCTTGTTTTTCTCTATGTCTTGGCTAGTTTTTCAGGTGATTTCTCCATAGATAACTTTTTTGGTCAGATTTTTTATTTTTTAAGTTATTTTATTTATTTTTATTTCTTTATTTTATTATTTGTTTTAGAGATTTTTTTTGCTATAGGGCATGTGTACCTGACAGAGAGTCAGAGAGACAAAGAGTGAGAAATCACCCCCCAAGAGGGATGGCCACACCGTAAGTCCTTCTCTTTCATTCTCCTCTCAGGATTTTGGGCATACATGGACATGTGCCCAAGATGAATTTGAAGCTGCCAGGTCTGGGACTTGAACTGGGGACGACCACGTGGGAGTTTAGCAATATAATCATTATGCCATCTGTTGGTCCCTTGGTCAAATTTTTTAAAAATAATTATTTATTTAATTTTATTTATTATTATTACTTAATTTGCTACAGGACATGTGCACTCATCATAGAGAAAGGAGGTGGGGGGGGAGAGAAAGAAAGCGAAAAAGCAAGCCCCTAGGTCCTGGATTTAAGCTGTGGTCAGCCGTGTGCAAGTCCAGCACCTTAACCACCATGCTACCTGCTGACCCTCTTTGGTCAGATTTAGGAAGTACTGGCACACTGTACAGATTCTAGGAAAGAAAATCTACCTCATTTCTTAGTGGGAGGAGGTGCTAGTGTCCTAGGCTGCTGCATCCTCTTCCCCACCTAGGTATTAAAACAAGAGTCCAAAGCCTTTCTTACAAATTATTCATGAGTCCTCAAGGGCTTCAGTTATATAGAAAACAATGTTCTTAAATGGTACTTCAGTTCAGGGATGATGTCTATTTTGTACTTTCTAGTACCTCTTTCCCCTAAGCCTAGTATGATGCTCTGCATAAAATGGACATTAGTAAATATGACCACTAGTTTCTTGAATATTTGAGGTCCATAGCTTTCTAAACCTTTGAACTAGTCTTCTTTGAACCAGGTGTGTATGGGTGTGCATGGGTGTGTGTATGTGCCCATATATAAACATACATGCACTAGGTATTACAAAATTGGGATCGCTGATATTTAATATTTGTTTTAAGTTGACCCCTATATTTTTAATTATAAAAAAAATAAAATGTAATGGTTTTACAAGTACAGCTACCTGTCCAAGATGATTCTATTTCTGGGTCTGAAAACCAAAAACAATAGAGTCATTTTAAAACATCACATAGATTCACTTATGTATTTTGGAGAAAAAGTACTCACTCATTACACGTATGCAAGAGTAGTTTCTCAGTACGAATATAACTCAATAGGTCAAGAATGGGGTAAATGGTATCCAAAGTCCAATTTGAACTACTGATGTGTTCTGGCAAAATAAAACCAAATAGAAGATTCTCTCTAAACAAGAGTATCAAAACTTGTTCATCCAGTATTTATTTTATTTATCTATTTATTTTTAAGAGAGATTTTTACTATAGGGTGCATGCACTTGCCAGAGAGACAAAGAGAGACAGAGAGACAGAAAGCAAGGAAACAATTCCCAGGGAAGATGGCCCCACCGCAATCCTTTCTCTTCCATTCTCCTCTTGGGATTTTGGGCCTGAACACATACATGCCTCGCGTTGAGTTTTACACCACTGGGTCCGGGACTCAAACCGCGGTAGACTGCGTGGGAGTCCAGCAATGTAACCATTATGCCATCTGCTGGTCCCTCATCCAGTTCTTAAATTATAGAAGTGAATCTCTGCCAGTCAGTCCTACATACCTTTTTATTTTCTAGATCATGAGTATGTTCCTATTTACCCTCTTTCAGGTCCCTGAACCATAAAATCAGAAGAGATATCATATTTCATATTAGTTATCTCATCTCCTTTTAAAATTAGGATGACTAGTGCTTGATATTAAGACTGATTATCAAAATGAACAAAAAGATCAAGTAAATGAGAGATTCTAAATTATACTAGCAACACAAACTTACCTTTGACAAAGTCAATGCCAATAGGAAGGGCTTTTTCAGGTTCTTGGCTTAACAAGTAATACTTTACAGTTTCAAATACATTGCCTTCTGCCTGAGCTGTCTCAGCTAACTGCATACATTCTTCTACTGTGGGTAGCTTACACTAAAAAAAAATGGATTTGATGACAATGTTACCAAAATTCTTAGGGATAAAAGCAAAAGCATATGTGCTAAATACATTCATGCATCACTTAACAGCAAGGATACATTCTGAGAAATGTGTCATTAGGCAATCTCATCATTGTGTGAACATCACAAGATATATTTACATATATCTAGATGGTACACATAGGCTCTAGGTAGACCCTGTTATAATCTATGGGACCACCATCTCACATGCATCATTGACCAAATATTGTTATGCAGCCTATAAGTGTATGTCCAATATATCTAGTATGTTAGTCTTATATTAAAGTTGTTTCAAATAAATGTAAGTGATATGATTTCTCTTAGGCGCTTACATTTATGGAAATATCTTTCAGATCTGCAAACAATAAGTAAGGTCATTAGCAGTAATTTTTCATCACACAAATACCTAATAAAACAGACGGATGTAAATGGTCATGATGGTAATACTGGAATTAGTATCTACAAATGAACGCTAGCAAAACATGCTGAGACTAGTTATTTTAGAACAAATATACTGGCCATTCTCCAAAACTACATTAAATATAGCAAACATTTAAAGTGCATTATTAGACCAGTAGATGGCATAATGGTTATGTAGTTGGACTCCCATATGGCCGACCACAGTTGGAGTCCCGGACCCAGTGGCTTAAAACTCACACCAGGCATGTATGCATGTGTGTCCAAAATCCTGACAAAAGAATAGAGAAGGAATTGTGGCGTGTCCATCCCCCCTGGGGGGGGCGGTGATTTCTAACGTTCTCTCTTTCTGTCCTTCTCTGACAAGCACATGCACCCTATAGCAAAAATCTCTCTTTCTAAAAAACAAACAACAAAAAACTGCATTATTATATGGCCTCTGCACTGTAATGTAATTTCACCTGGCCTTTGAGACAAAGCAACCTTACTTCAAAGATTTCATGTGTTTAAAAGTTTTTAGCTTTGACATTCTGAAATGCCACAAAGTGGAGATTTTTAGTTTATAAATTTTCATTACTCTAAAATGAAGAACAACACTCCCCATTTTGACAACTTTTTTTCTTTAAAATTGGATCTGTTCCTTCCTCTCTCAGATAAGTTGTTTTGTTTCCATAATGTGAGAAAGGATTAACTTAGCTTTCATATCAAATTCTCACGTGTGTATGATTTTTTAAATTTGTTTTATTTTATTTATTTTTTTTTTGAGAGGTTTTTGCTATAGGGCACGTGCGCTCGCCAGACAGACAGAGAGAGACAGGGAGACAGAAAGCAGGAAATCACCCCTCAGGGGGGGTGGCCACGCCGCAATCCCTTCTCCTCCATTCTCCTCTCGGGATCTTGGGCACGCACGCACACGCGCCCAGCGTGAGTTTAAGCCACTGGGTCCGGGACTCAAACCGCGGTCGACTACGTGGGAGTCCAGTGACATAGCCATTATGCTAACTGCTGGTCCCATATGTGTATGATCTTTGAAGCATAATTGTTAGATTGTGTTTTTTGCTTTTTCTGTTGTTTTGGGCGTGTGTGCTCACTGGAGACAGAGACAGAGAAAGAGAGAGATACAGAAAAAGCGAGAAAACATCTCGGAGGGCATGCTGGCCAAGCCACAATCCCTTCTCCTCTATTCTCTCAGGATTTTAGTCACACCAGGATTTCTGGTCACACATGTGCCCAGTGTGTTTTTGAAGCCACAGGGTTTGGGACTCAAATTGTAAAGCCAGCCATGAGATCCAGCCACTTTAACCTCCACACCATCTGCTGGCCTGAAGTTTCTCTGTTTTGAGGAATATTTACAAATAGTTTAATACTTTGCTTCACCTTATTTATATACTTCTTAAATAGTTCTGCATTTCCTGTTGTTTCAATATTAGGTAACTTGGGCCAGCTCCATAGCCCAGTGGTTAAGGGAGCTGGATCCCATGTGGCTGACTGAATAGTTTGAGTCTCAGTCCTGGTGACGTGAAAAACACACATGATACCAGTGTGCATGTGCCCCAAATGCCAACAGGAGACAGATATGGAGGGGAAAGTGCTGTGACAATGCTCTATTGGGGGAGGGCTGCTTTCTCCATCTTCCTCTATCTTTCTGCAGTGAGCATGTGTGCTCTCTGGCATTTTTAAAAAATGAGGTAAACTAAACATTTTAAATATTTCAATTTCTCAAAATTTTCAATCTCTCAAACTGAATTAATGGGACTCTTATATATGTATATAGGTATATATATTGCTTCCTCATCCTTACTCTTTTTTTTTTTTTTTTGGAGAGGTTTTCACTATAGGGCGCGTGCGCTCACCAGACAGACAGAGAGAGACAGAAAGCGAGAAATCATCTCCCATGGGGGATGGTCACGCCACAATCCCTTCTCCTCCATTCTCCTCTCGGGATCTTGGGCATGCACGCACACGCGCCTGGCATGAGTTTTTAAGCCACCGGGTCCAGGACGCGAACCACGGTTGACTAGGTGGGAGTCCAGCAACATAGTCATCATGCTAACTGCTGGTCCCCTCATCCTTATTCTGAAATGCTAATTATTTACTTAGCAACTACTGTGTGCTAGGTTCTGTACCTGGATAGAAGGAAAATTCTTCATTTTGACATACGCTCAAAGATAGAAGGAATAAATAAATGGTTTCCATTCAAATTTCATTCTCAAATGGAATACAAAAAGAGAAATAATATGGTCTTTTTTTCTAATTCCTAAAATTTCAAAAGTATTATCAATTAACATCTTTAAAATTACAGCTTTTAGGATTTATTGTTTGTGAAATTGTTCAGCATTATCAACACCTTTACACATTCTCACTAGTCTTTCTAAAGAGTTATTAATGAAATCTGACTAGACGGTCTAAATATATCCTTTCAGAATGTGTGATGAAAGAATAGGTGAGTACTACTCTTGCCTCATGATTGAAAACTGTAAACGCACACGAGTCATTTACCTTCTCTAGGGTTGATATTAACACCTGTACCTCCTGCCACAGAGGGTGTCTGTTAGCATACAAATACTACACAGTAAATGGAAAATACAATTGAAGAAACACTCCCTGTTTCACTCCATATATATTTTAACATAGAAACAGTTGTTATGTTCATAGAAAGCAAAGCACAGCTTATTATAAAAATAATTCACAGAACACAAAGTATCTAAAAAAGTTAAAATTTCCCAACCCACTGGTAACTCTGGACATCTATCCTTTCCCAAGGAGTATCCCTGATATTACATCCCGCGCCCCCACATCTAACCATACACATACACTCACACGAACTTTTTGTCTATTTGTACAAACACAATATTCAATAAATATCCATTGGTGGATGAATAGTGCAACTCATCTACTGGGCAAATAACAAAATTCAAATAAGTGAAGCAAACTTTGTTCATTTTAAAGTTAGAGATGAGAAAATGTTTAATCTTTATCTTAAAAGAAACTGGAAGTACCTATTTAAATGCTATATGCAAAATAAATATATTCATTCAATTATTGTCATAATAAAATCATATGGCATGTGTATCTATTTTTGTGATTAGCTTTCTACTTAACTATGTTTTATAGCCATCTAACTCATGTCAATAAAAACAGAGTCTCATTTTAAAAAATGAATTAATGTCATTGAAATATAGAAATGTATTGTAATTTAGGGACCAGCAGATAGCATAATGGTTATGGAGCTGGACTCCCATGTAGTCAACCATGGTTCGAATCCCAGACCTGACAGCTTAAGACTCATGACAGACATGTGTGCGTGTATGCCCAAAATCCTAAAACGAGATTGGAGAGGAAGGGATGGCGGTGTGGCCGTCCCCCTTGCGGGGTTGATTTCTCTCTTTCTGTCTCTCTGTCTGTCTCTGTCTCTCCAACAGACACACACATCCTACAGCAAAAAGCTCTCTCTCTCTAAAAGAAAAAAAGACTGTAATTAATATAAACAATCTTTGTGTTAACATTTTGGTTTTCACATATAAAATTGGCACATATATTCCTAAATTTTGCAGAGAAATATTTTCTTAAAGCACTTTAGTATAATGCATGTAAATGTCATTATATGAAGGCACTTCAAAAGGCTCATGGATAATGAAATTTATGTGTAAGTGTATTTTGGTGTGAAAAAATGAAATCTATAGGTAGCTTTTTATATTACAAATTTTACATCAAAGTTTTGAAGACTCCTTGTATATCATGAATTATTTTATGCATCCTACATTGTCTATTTTAAAAGTTACCATACACATAGCTCAAAATGCAAAGTGCACAGTAGAAAGGACTTGGAATTTGGAGTTAGGTTTGTTGAAGTTAAATATCTCACACCACCATTAACTACTCTGGGTAAATTTCGTATCTTATCTGAGTTTACTTTCTTTGTAAAATTGAAAAATATCCCCTGATTTTCAGGATTTCATGAGAATTTAGTGAGATATACATAAAATTTTAAATTAGTACTAAGCAAATATATGGATCTTTTATAATCTTTTTGTATTTGTAAGTATCCCAAAGTGACCATGTATTTGTTTCTCTGAATGTATCTCTATTCATTTGAACCTAAAATTAGGTAAGTTATAGCACTGCATTCTAAACTGAAATATTTAATAACAACTGCATACCTTCTCATGAAGATCATTTATCTCTTCGAGACACCCTGGGTAAAAAGCACAGAGTTTTACTAAATGGAGTTCATTATCAGGCATCATCAGGAGGAGATCGGCTGCCAAATTCCTGTCCACATACAAAGAGGGAAAACTTAGTTGAGGAAAAGATATAACAATACCATATATAACTATTTCAATGGAAGGAGACTCATAATATACCTTTCTTGCTTTTCTATTTACACAATCAGCATTAATTTCTTGCTTAATTTTTTTTTTGGGGGGGGGAGAGGTTTTTGCTATAGGGCACATGTGCTCTCCAGAAAGACAGAGAGAGACAGAGAGACAGAAAGCAAGAAATCAGCCCCCAAAGTCCCTTCTCCTCCATTCTCCTCCCAAGATCTTGGACATACACACACATGTGCCCAGAGTGAGTTTAAGCCACCGGGTCCAGGACTTGAACTACAATCGACTACATAGGAGTCAAGCAACATAGCCATTATGCCAACTGCTGGTCCCCTGCTTAATTATTAAGCTCCTCTAAATGTAGACTACAGAATCCAAAGGGATGAATGACAAATGTATTATAAAATCCCTAAGTATTTTTATAAATCTAAACTTTATACACATTGAGTCTTCACATATTTGTCATCAGTTTTATTTTAAAATAAATCTTTAAGTACCAAGTAGTTTGGGATATGTTCTTTGGAATGAATTATAGAGCAAACTCTCATCAACTTTCATTATGCTTACTAACAATGGAGAATTTCATTAGTTCACTGGAAGCAGTGGCATATTTAGGTATTGTAAGTATAGAATTTTGGCAAATCTCCATATTTCTTAACATTTAGGTGGAAATCAAAGATAGAAATGTAGCTTTTAAATGTACTTTTTACATAGTTAATGTAATACAGCATTTAAGATTTAAAAAATGTGAAATGGTATAAATTTAGCATCTTTATATCAAAATATTTTTCATAAAATACTTTCTTTAAATATTTACTAGGTGATGAGATTCTGGCTGCATGCTTCACAACTAAGAAAACATCTAATTTTCAATGATTCAAGACATTATTTGGTTTTCAAGAAACTTGATATATCAAGGATTGGCCCTGTGGCATAATGGTTAAGGAAAACTGGATTACAGATGGTTAACTGTGGTTCAAGTCCTGGCCCCAGTGGCTTGAAAAACATACCTGGTATATGGGCATGCTTGCCTAGAAAACAGAAAGGATGGAGAAATGGAGGAGATGGGATTGTGGCATGACCAAATCCCAGTGGGAGATACTCTCTCTCTCTCTCTGTCCTTCCCCCCACCATGCCTTTGTCTCTCTCTGGTGAGCACATGAGCCCTCTGGCAATTATAAAAAGTAAAAAACTGATTGACATACATAAACTTGGTATGGTATATTTCAAATGAGAATTTATAATTCTGTGCATCAGAGACTGTGAGAGTAAACTCCTCCTCCATTTTCATGAAGACTTCAGCAAAATCTATATTGGTTATTTATTAAATTTAGTTTTTAAAATACAAGAAATGGTTAATCAGAAGTACAGTGAGTATAAAAATGAAACTTATGCCCTCTGGTGTCAAATTCAAATTTCATCTAAAACATATATACACATATCACAAACTATTAGGACAGTAACATTTTAAATTAATTTTACTTTAAGGATTTTAGAGTAACAAAACTTTAGTGTGGTATCATAAAATTTTCCATAAAATATTTTAATAATTCAACAATCTACTAATAAATAATTTTCTAGATGTCAGTAGAAAGTTGCTAAAAATTAGAATGATTCTTCACATTATTATCCCCTAACCAATTAATAATTAAATATGATCTTTTCCCACACTGCCTATTTTCTATTACCACTAGGCAAATAAATCTTTGAGTGTTTTTATAAGTTCCAAATTAGTTTATTTTATGTGTTCTTGTTAAAATGTACACATGAATTTATATGTTTTCTAATACCAAAATTTTATAGCTGTTTTAAATAATGTCCATAAAAAGACAGAATTTACCATTTGCAGTTATGAGTATAAAAGAGCGCTGCTAAATTCTATTCAAACTGCTGAGAACTACAAACAAAATCTGACTTATGGTAAAATTATACTCTCATATAGTGAAATTTATAGGAAGGCTAGCAAGTTTTACCCAGACCTTTAATTCACTATTTTTTTTTAAATTTAGGGGAATTTTCTCACACACACCCACACACACACACACACACACACACACACCCCCACACAGTCTTCAAAAAGTTCATGGAAAACGTGTTTTATAATAAAACTATAATGGATTTAAATTTTTTTGCAATAATATAAAGTTGTATTTAAATTTCATTTTTCCATGAATTTTTGAAGTTCATGCATGTATGTGCACATGCATAGAAAATGATGTTGACCAGCCAAATGATAAAAACCGAATTTCACTGCCAAAACAGGTATTTTATTTTACTTAGCTGAATGAGCTAGATTTGGTATTGCAGAAAACTATGGTCCCTTTTATTATATATGTTTTAAATATAAAATCATGAGTGATTCTATACCTAGGTTTTAAAAACTATTTCAATACTTTGTAGTTAGGTTTTTTTTTAAAAGATTATTTAACTTATTTTACTATTATTATTTTTATAATTTGCTATAGGGCATGTGTGCTCACCCGAGAGAGACAGAGAGAGAGAGAGAGAAAGAGAGGAAGAGAAAGTGAGAAATGAAACTGCCAGGTCCAGGACTTGGTTGGCCATGTGGGAGTCCAGAGCCTTAACCACTGTGCCACTTGCTGGCCCCTGCAGTTAGGTTTTATATGCTATAACTTATATATGAATTGCAATAATATAAAATGAAGTGAAAATAGTTAATACACATTTTAATACAGAGATGGAATTTCAGTAACAAAAGATTATATATATATATATTTAATAAACATATTTTAAAATAAAATGATATGATACCTGTATCCAACAGACGGAAAGCTAAAAAGAAAACATTAAATTTGATTACCATGAATATATGATGAATACCAAGAAGCAGCAAACTTTTACCAGTATGAGTAAAAAAATGAAGTATTTTGGGTTTATAAAATTATGAACATTCCTTTAAATTACGTAGCTTTTTAAAAAAATTCTATGTAGCTTACAAATATTCATGAAAGTAATGTGTTTTTTTTCCCTGGAGATAAGCCTAATCAGCATCATATATTTCAAAATTTGAATTTTATTCTGGCTTCTGGTACACATATCTATGATTGTATCAAGGAAAAACTCTTGAAGGGAAATTACAAGGGAGCAATTTCTTTTTTTTTGTTTTCTAGAGATTTTTGCTACAGGACACATGTGCTTGCCAGAGAGACAGAGAGACAGAAAGTGAGAAGGACCCTCCAGGGAGGATGGCTACACTGCAGACCCTTCTCCTCCATTTTCTTCTTGGGATTTTAGGCACGTACACACATGTGCCTGGCGTGAGTTTCAAGCTGCTGGGTCTGGGACTCGAAGTGGGAGTGGAAGTCTAGTGTCTTACTGCTATGCCACCTACTGACCCCAACTAACGTAATTCTTGACACAGGGATAATTGAGTATTCTCAGAGGATAGTCAACAGTAAATATATTTAAATCTAAGACTTTTTCATTGAAAGATAAATTTCTTACATCACTATAAAATGTATATGAAAATTAGAACGACACTGAGGTGAGATTCCTGATTCACAATGAAATCTCCATATTTACATAAAAAAGGTGAAGGAGGGGCCAGCAGGTGGTGTGGTGGTTAAGGGTGTTGGATTCCCACATGGCCAACCATGGTTCAAATCTTGGACCTGGCAGCTTGCTTTTTTGCTTTCCCCTTCTCTCTGTCTCTGTTTAAACTAAAAACCAAAACTCAACAAATGGAATTAAATAAATAATTATTTTTTTAAAAAAAGGGGGAGAATGAAAACTGCTCATTCTGAGTTACTCCAGATAAGAAGGTGGTATAGTGTGGTAAGTTAAAAAGTGCACATAAAAGTCAGTTAAGTAGCATTATATGTTGGTTCTACCATTTACTGAGAACTCAGGCATATCAATACCCATCTCATAGGACCTAGTAAGTTATTATAAATAAAGTGCTTATAATAGTAACTGGCAGACAGTAAACAGTATAGAAGGTATTAAATGTCACTATTAGTATTATTTTACTATTATTATTTTCTATAGTTCTAGCCATCTGTAGAGTTCTATCTTAAGGGTGAGGTAGTGTATATCAGTTGTATACTGGAAAGAGGTCAAATTCTTGATAAGTTTATTTAGAAAGTTTGTGGGGTCCTAAGTATTTTGAGGAAAGAGAAGATAAAATTAGAAAATTATCTTTATTCAACAAATATCTTTCAGATGACAGAATTAATCTTTCTAAAGGCACCTACATAAGGGTCAATTATCTGAGCTAAGAACAGGTCTCTGTAGATTTGAGCAATAATTTTGATTTCCAGGTTACCCCAAGAAAATCCCAGGGTCTTTTTTTGTAGTATATATTCAGAGGAGAACTGGTTTGTTCCTAGTCTCTAGCAAAACCAATTTTGTTACTGCTTTCCCTTAGAAAACTAAAAAGTTATGGGGCAGGCAGGTGGCATGGTGGTTGGGGGCGCTGGACTCCCACATGGCTGACCATGGTTCGAGTCTTGGAGCTGGTGGCTTGCTTTCTTACTTTCCATCTCTCTCACTCTCTCACTCTATCCCTCTCTGGTCAAATTAAAATAAATAAATAAAATTAAATAATTATTTTAAAAAGAAAACTAAAAAGTAGTTTATGAGATCTGATAAGTGATTGTATGCAGAATTTTAAGATGATCATCTTAACGGACCAGTAATTGGTGTAATGGCTATGTCGCTGGACTCCCATGTAGTCGATCGTGGTTCGCGTCCCGGACCCGGTGGCTTAAAACTCATGTCAGGCGTGTGTGCATTCGTGCCCAAAATCCCAAGAGGAGAATGGAGGAGAAGGGATTGAGGCGTGGCCATCTTCCCTGGGGGGTGATTTCTCGCTTTCTGTCTCTGTCTCTCTCTCTCTCTGTCTGGCGAGCGCACGCGCCCTATAGCTAAAACCTCTCAAAAAAATAAATAAATGAAAAAGATGATCATCTTAAGAGGCACACATTTATTGTCTCAACAAACTTTCAGTGTTTGAAACATTACAGAACGACAACTGGGCTACTTGAGAATGGTCATGATAAATTTCATTATATACTTATGGTAGTTCTCACCAGTATTTCATGCCCACATCCAATTTCCTTTCAGGATCTTAGCCTTTATAAAAAGGGATATCCTATATTTTGCTAAAAGATCTTATCAAATGTAATTTACAACATTTAACAAAAAATGTATTTCATCACTATAAAGCTCCTCTTTAAATTAAAAAATTCTTACCACGTTGAAATCATCATGCATTTTCTTGCTAATAATTCCAGGGCGTAGTTGGTGGCTGGTGCCGCAGACTCTCCTATCACTGTGCCCACACAGACCGCCAGCTCCAGTTCATTTCCACGAATCAAGTATGCCATAGCAAGCTTGCTCAATAAGAAAATAATTTCTTCAGTTGCACAGTTGCTGGGTAGAATCATCATTCCCCTCCAAGCTCACAAAGTAGATAAAGTAGTATTAACCTATAAATCAATTATTCTTATCAAGTATTGACTGCAATTTTCCTGTGAAGTACCTATATAAGAGTAACTGCAAGTTTCAGATGGAAAAACTGATAACAGGATACGAAGAAAATGTTATCAGGTCAGACTACAAGAGTTCAGAATCCTTTCACCTATTTTATAATTAATTACTAATACTCTGAAATATCCTGAAAAAGTCCCATGAGAAAAATAAATGTATATTATTAAGTTTCTTTGGAGATGGATGACAGGGATGGCCCCTGTACAAGCACAGAACTTAACCCCACAGTGTAGGATTAAGTGCTGTGCGTTGGCAGATGGATCTCACATGGCCAGCCAGGGCTTGAATGGCAGCTTGAAAAACAAGCGGTGCATGTACGTGCATGCCCAAAATTGTGACAGGATGAGAAATGAGGAAAAGAGTGTGATGTTATCATCCCCATTGGGTAGGTGTCTTCTCTCTTTCTCTCCCTTTCACTCTCTGATAAGTGCACATGCTCTCTGACAAAAAAAAAGAAAGAAAAAAAAAAGATTTATGACAAGAATCAATTATTTCCTGAAGATATATTTCCTAAATATATCTAAGTATATTTGAATAACAGATCCTATACCTTTATTGAGTATTTTCCTTATGATGTCAGTGGGTCAAGTGAAAATATCTTTAAAATATAACCTGTGTGGCTAGCAAGTGGCACAGTGGTTAAGACACTGGACTTCCAAATGGCCGATCGTGGTTTGAGTCCTGGACCTGGTGGCTTGCTTTCTCTCTCTCTCTCTGGTGAGTGCATGTGTCCTACAATAAATTAAATAATAATAAATAAAATTATTTGGTTCATATATGTGTGTGTGTGTGTGTGTATGTGTGTGTGTATATATAAACATGGGAAGAAAATCTAATCTTAAAGTAAACTTAAAAATCAGTGCTTTCATTTGTATTAGTTGTCACAGTCCTAAACGCTGCATGGCAAACAGGCAAGGCAGGTATTCATATTTTTATTTTAAAGTTGAGGACATTTAAGACTCTGAGAGGTTAAGTGATGGCCTAAGATTGTGTGACAGAATCAGGACCCAAACTCTGATATTTAGAGTTCAAATTCAGTGATTGTTTTCATTCACCAAACTACCACTTGTCATATGTGATGAAATGTTTAAGCAAGGTTGTTAGAAACACATATCTTGTGATTAAAAATAAATAAAACAAAGGAGCTCATAGTCTGAAGAGAATTTCTGTGCTTTTGAGATACATGATGAGTCATTTACTTTGGCTTGTAAAACATGCTAAGCCAGATCTTACACAGGAAGTCACTGCATCGTTTCTCTTAAAACAGAGTGGCACATGTAAAGAGCTTTTCATTCACACAAACCAGTGCGAAATCTTATACCTCAATATTATCCACGGCTAGATGGCAACACGCAGCCAAAACTGCTCGACCATCCTGAAAATACCACTCAGCCAGTTCTTTACTGACTTCATGCAGGAGTCTAGGAAGAAAAAAAGGACATATTCTACATAAACACAGGATTATAGCCTAACAGTTAACTAACACGCTTTTATAAGGGAATTAAGAGACTAAACAGGATTTTAGACACCGTTGATTTAGCCTAATATCTTGGAAAAAAATCAGGAAAGCAAAAATCCTTTCGGGTATATGATCTGCTATCCTAGCTAGCCCTGACAATAGTGAAAAGAACAGCCTGATTTTCCAAAACTTACCATCCTGGACTGAACAACTTGATTCAGTTAAAGGGACAGTTAACCTTAGAAAAATTACAGATCGAGCTGACATTTTTCAAAATTTAGTTTGGTGTCCAAAATATAGTTAATGTGTGCTAGGTCTTCAAAATGACAAGTTTAGAAATGGCAGAGAATAATAGTAAAGGTCCAAGAAAAAAAATACATTAATCCCATAACATCATTATTTGCTTAGTGCTTTCATGATCTGTTTACTTGATATTTAAATATACCATGGTCTTGAGCAACTAACAGGAGCCAACAGAAGGGGCAGGGGGAGGAATACTATTAGAGTATAAAAAGGTAAAACCTAAAAGTTACGTTTCTATTTCTTTTATAAGAGAACTATTTGGGAAGGCAGCTGGTGGTTAAGGTGCTAGATGATAATGGCTTCAAGATCATTCTGAGAATGTCTGCGAGTCACCAAAAAGTCCCAAGAGGAGGTGGAGAAGAAGGGACTGCAGTGTGGCCAATCTCCCTTCAGGGTGATTTCTCATCTTCCTTCTCTTTGTCAATCTCTCTCTCTCTCTCTCTCTCTCCAGTGAGTGTATATGCTCCATGGCAAAAACCTTAAAATAAAAACAAAAAAACCCCATGAAACTATTTGGATTTCTTCTTTAAAGTAGGACTAAGTATTTCTAGACACTAATATGGGGGTCATGGGTTATGAACTACCTGATCATGATATTATATACACCGACTTTACAGTAAAATTTTAATAACAGCACACTTATTTCACTATCTGTCCTTCCCATAGGGTTTGATCAGTTTTTAAGTACATAGGTACTTTATTTGCAATCTCTCTACTGAAATGCATTTTGTTTTCTGGGAGGCTGTGTCTACCTCCCTCACATTTCCCTGTTAATCTAGGGACAGATGCTGAAATGGAAGCCAAGTATAGTGAGCAATGGAATTGAGGACAGGAAGCAGTTAAGTCCTCAGATATCAGGAAGGATGAAGCACGTGGCTCTCAAAAACTCTAACCAAGGAAAATGTTGGTCCCAAAAAAAGAATAAATCACTCACTCATTAAAGTCTTCCTTGTAGAGATCATCAGAAAATGAAGCTCCTTTAGGCAGAGAAACATGTAAGGTTTGCATATTTCCCTCACATGCAGCCTAGAATTAATTTAAATCTTTAATTAATCTTTAGTGAATTGTTGATAACCAGCCAACTTCAATATATTATTTTGAGACAAGTACATTTAAATCATGTTCAAAATTTATACCACTATTGGGAGATAATCTTGGTATTTTAGGACTCTGGAGGTGGTGTGGTGGTTAGGGGTGCTGAATTCCCACATGGCTGACCACAGTTTGAGTCCCGTTCCTGGCAACTTGTTTTCTTGCTTTCTCTCTCTCTCTCTGTCCCTCTCTAGTCAAAATAAATAAATAATGTTAAATAAAATATATTTTTAAAAACTTAGTATTTTGTAAGAAATAAAATGTTAACTCCATTGTGAGAACCAGCACAATGCGTCAAATAATGCTTACTGAAAAATTATAGTTCCAATGCATGCCATAAAACATTTAGCAGCATGTAAAAAGCTTAGAGTTTTGAGATGTGTATATGGTTAAAGACCTAAAGTAAACTCAGTGTGATGAGAACAAATATGGTAGGACTGAAAGGCTGAGATACGAGGCCAGGAACATGGGCAGAAGCCAAGCTATCTATGACTGTCAATCATGGGAAGTCTACACAATCCTCTCCTATGTGCCCGCCCACCAATGCACTTGGCTGACATAACTATGTGGTGATACCTGAGCGACAAGTAGCGCTTCTTTCAGTTGACCTCTTGACATAAAAAAACTGACGAGTTTCTTCACGTCACCAATAGCTATGCAGTATGGAATGACATCATCCTTCCCTTCTTGGATTAACTGATCGGCTCTCCTAATAAAATAAAGAACAATTTTTTTTTTTCTTGTAGCAAATGAACTTCAGTGCTTTTAGTTAGACTGAGATTTTTTGAAAACATTTCAAAAACTTTTAGCAGATCTCATAAAACCCTTTGGAAAAAATCACTTTTTAAAAAGACAGGTCTTATAATCCAATGACATAAGGAAGACAAAAGTTTTATAACATAACAAATACTACAGGAACGTGTTTGCTCCTAGAATATTAAGTATTTTCATCTTTTTTTAATGCCCCAAACATTTCAGATCTTATAATCAAGGTAGATTATTAGAATAGGTAACGTTTTCATGTGGATATAAGTTGGAAACCAAATACATAAGATGAGATCTATACTCTGAGTTGGACTAATATGTGTCTACATCGTGAAAGATTAAAAACATTTAAAATGTTTTAGTGAGATAATAAAAAGAGAACTCCTATAAAGTCATTAAAAAGAAAAATACAAGAACATAAATACTGATAATAAAATGCATAATATTGTAAGTCTAAGCAAGAAATTTTAAAGAAAACTAATGCTCCAGGCATGTGAGGAGAGAAATAGATCATGATCTTGACGGCTGTGAAGGGTGTACATGTGGTTTCTGCATATCTGTCTCTGTATCTCTTGCTATCTATCAAACTCTGACTGTCTGTTTCTGTTTCAAAGTCCCAGGTATTTTATAACTGACTCATTTTGTGAATTCTACTTTTAATATTAAACCTCAGTTTTCTTTTAAAATGGTATGGCACACTTCAATGACGCCGGCATTTGCATTAAACTGCAGTACCATTTGTAATCTCAAAGTAGGTGCAGAAAATATTTTTTATGTTGTTTGCCCAGTTAACTGTTAAATGTTACCATCTGCACAGTCATTGGGTACTCCCTGGCAGTCTACTATGTGATCCTATTTCTTTGTTACAGCTGTTTAGAAATCTGCTGTTTAGAAACCATATTCTATCTCTGTGGGCATTTGGAACTAGGCTTAACAGAATGCCAATCAATTTCACTGAATGCTGAATCTATGAAATATAAAGTCATGAGTTGTAGGGAGACCATTTTCTGGCCACCACATGCACTAAGGAGGAGACAAAGTTAGGTATTGGCTTTCAAAGATGAATAGAGTTAGAAGAATTGTCTCCTTCTTTCTCTCCCTCTGCCCTACTTTTCTCTTTTCTTTTCTTTTTACAAGATTTTTGCTATAGAGTGTGTGTAGTTGATGAAGAGACAGAGACTTTGAGACAAAAAGTGAGAAATCAACGCTCAAGGGGCATGGCCACACCATGATCCCTTCTTCTCCGTTCTCCTCTCAGGATTTTGGCCTGAACACAAGTCCATTGAGAGTTTTAAGCCACTGGGTCTGGGACTTGAACTGCCGTCAACTCTTTGGGAGTCCAGCACCTTATTAGACCATTTGCTGGCCCCTGTTCTGCCCCAGTTAAGCCATTGTGATCTGACTTCAGTCTCCTTTCTGCCCAAACAACCCTTACTAAGTGGTCAACACTACCCTCATGTTGTCCAGATTTCTTCTTTGGGCTACAGAATTAAGGTGGTCTATTGTAAAAGAGGACTTCAAAAAGTTCATGGAAAAATGGAATTAAAGTATGAATTTATTTTGATGCAAAAATATATATAGTGTCTATTTGACAATGCCACTAAAGATCACAAAGAAACTCAAGCATAATATATCCAAAAAGAATTATCTTATATCCTATTTGATTCAAATCCTTTCCTGAGGTTTTTCTGTTGTTGTTGGAGGTGGTGGTGAATAGCAATAGCTTCTCATCAGTTTTTAAAGCTTATTTTATTTTGAGACCAGCAGATGCTGAAATGTTTACATTGCTGGACTCCCACATAGTCGACTGCTCGAGTCCTGGACCTGGTGCTTTAAAACTCATGCTGGGCATGTGTGGATGCATGCCCCAAATCCCAAGAGAACAGAGGAGAAGGGATTGCAGTGTGGCCATTCTCCTGGGGATTGAGGATGGGTGATTTCTCGCTTTCTGTCTCTCTGGCAAGAGTATGAACGCTATAGGAAAAAAATCTCTCTAATAAAAAAAAAAAAAAGCTTATTTTGTTTATTTCCTCCATGAGTCAGAGAAACTGAGAGAGAAAGCACAACTGCAACAAGGTCTTGATGCCATGACCCACCCCTTGCCTTCAGTCAGCCCTGGATCATCGGCAAGTTTGCACTGGTGTACTCAGAGAGCTCTCTAGACTTGAACTGGAACCTTTCCAGGTAGAATTCCCTCAAAATAGGTTATGTTTTATGGCTGCATAACTATCTAGCCTCCGATTAGATTTTAAACAAAAAAACCTAGGAGTTATTAATATTTGTGATACTTTCCTTATCTTCCTTACAAACTCCAGTTACTCCGCACTCCTAAACAAATCCAGCCTACTTTTCTACGTCTCACCCATCCCCACGTAAAGCCTCCATGCTACTGCTGTCTCCTGACTGGGCTATTCTAATAACGCTCCAGCTGGTCTCCTCACACCAATGGCAGACTCTCTAATCTGTTCTTGATGCTTCAGTTAGTGTGAATTTTCAAACTGAAAATCTGGTCAGATCTCCTTCTGTACATTTAAAAACCATTTAACATTTCCTGCTGCTATTAGGACTTAAAAGAAATAAGGTTAACATATTTATAAAATGGCTAGCTCCTGCCTACCTCTCCAAGGGGCACGTGGCACCTCTCTCCCCTGGTTTCTGGGCCCCAGTTGCAGTAGCTTCCATTTGGTCCCTTTACTCTGCTCCCTAGGCCTGGAAAGTTTTCTCCCAACTCTTCACTTGCAATTTCCCAGGCATCCTCTAGAGGTCAGTTCAGAGGTACCATTCTAAGGCAGGTTTCCTCTTAAAATACATTTGGGCCTACATCGCCTTTTTTCTTCTTCTTCTTTTTTTTTTTTTTTTTTTTTTTGCTATAGGGCACGTGTGCTTGCTGAAGAAAGAGACAGACAGAAAGCAAGAAATCATCCCCAGGAGGAATGGCCACACCACATCACTTGTCCTCCATTCTCTTCCTGGGATTTTGGTGGGTATGCATGCACACGTGCCCAGCTTGAGTATCAAGCTTCCAGGTCCAGGACTCAAACCACGCCACCTGGGAGTCCAGCATCCCAACCGTTATGCCAGCCACCCCAAACATTTTAACCTATATACATACCTTTAAAAGCAATTCAGTAGGAAAAAAAAAAAAAAAAGCAATTCAGTAGCATATTAACATTACTAAATGCTAGAATAGTATATCAATAATCATAAGGAATATGAAATAATTTTTACTTTCATTCTACAAATTATTAACCTATAATAATTATAAAAACTAATTATAACCTTGATCCTAAGTGGCCTCAATCAACTTTTCACTAAAGCTGAAACATGTTTTATCAAATAAATGTCCTCTGCTAATTTGGTTCTAGTAAAGATTCGGTGGGAGCAGTAATATTCACAAGCGTGTGAGGGTATAAGGCACTTAAAAGTACTTGAGATTCTTAGAGCTCAGGGTAGGGGAGCCTACAGTCTGAGGGCCACAGAGACAGCCTGATGCTTATTTCTTGTTGGGATAGGTGCTAGGGAACAGCCTATTTTCCCATGGGAAATGTATTAATCCTTCTGGATTTCCTGCTTAGCCTCTGATTGATTTTTACTTGTAAATACGAACAGCAGTTGAGTTTTTTTTCCTCTAAGCCACATCTCACAGAAGAAAAATCAAAATTTCCCTTTTTAAATGCCAAGAGAAGGGGCATTTCAGACTTCTAATGTCCAGAACCATGAGAGAATAAATTTCTGTTATTTTAAGCCACTCAGTTTGTGATAATTTGTACAGCAATTCTAAGAAATGAATACTCCTGAGGAAAAAAATCTTGTTAATTAGTATTTGTTGCATCCTAAAACAAAGATATTTCCTTAAGTTTCCTCCATTGCTGGGCCTTTCTTTTCTTCTTCTTTCTTTCTTTATTTATTTACTTATTCAAATTTTGCCCTAGGGTTTGTGTGCTCACTGGAGAGAGACAGAAAGAGAAGGAAAGTGAGAAATCCCCATCAGGGGGTTGGCCACTCTACAGTCCCTTTTCCTCTGTTCTCCTTTCTGGACCTTGGGCATGCACAATCATGCGCCCCACATGATTTTCAGGCCATGGGATTTGGGACTTGAACTGCTGGCCCTCAAGGCTCTTCTTTATCACTGGTAACCCCTTACATCCACAGAGAGAAAATAGCAGGAATTAGTGTCAACAGAAATGAGCTTTTTTATGTATGAAAGAGAGTGAGGGGGAACATAGGATGGGGGAGAGAGCGAGAGATGCAGCCTTGACAGGGTCTCTCTATGTCATGGTCTTGCTCGCCCAGCCTTTTAGTCAGCCAGGACTATAGATGTGCAGCGTCATGACTGACCTATCCGGGTTGGTCTGAGAAACAAACCCAGGCCTCCTCCTATGTGGCCCTAGACATAACACAACAGTATCAGTCCATCTGCACCAGTACGGCTAGGCCCTACGAAGAGAATTTCTGAGATTTTTTTTCTTTATAGAATAGTATTCTACTAACTTCTGGTTACCCTCAGGAAATCTTATCACTTATATCTCAGCAGCAGTGTATAAATCAGTGAGCACATTTGCTGATCTGTCTCTTCCTCCAGTGACCTTTAGAAAACTGCTTTCCACTGTCAGCAGGGGTCCAGTCAAATATCAGAATACCAAAATGACTTGTAGTCAATTCATTTAATTTATTATTTCAGTGTAAAAAATTCAGTTATTATTTAAGATAATACAAGAATGATAAATCTCAAAGAATTACTAACATATTTTGTCAATTTTAACATGTTATTTTAAACCATTTGTTTATACACAAACCCTGTACCTTACCTCTGCATTAACTTCTTCCAGTATTTCACAGAGACTCCTGGTGCAATTGATAAGGCTTTGTCCCACTAAATAGAAGGCAAAAAAAAGCAGAAGCATATCTAGTTTGCATTGTGTAAATTGTAACAGTCCTCTTTTTAAAATAAATTCAAATATCATACAAAATTTTTAGAGTTCTTGAATTTTCAAAAATACTTCTGCAGTCTATCTTACACATTCTATACAATATAAATATCAACATATTTTAAAGTAAATATGTAAAATGTTATAATTTAGCAGGGAAAAAGCCTAAACCTATAGAAATAGAGAAAAAGAGAGGGAAGGAGACATAGAAAAATAAAGGAAAGGGAAAAAGAAATGGAAGAAATGATACAGTAACCAAAGTATATAGTTTGAAAAATATATATTGTGTCATCTCTAACACAATACCAGAGTAATTTTACTATAGTGCTCTATGTTTAAAATAACTAAAACTGATATTTTAATTTTGCTGTTACTCATATTTAACAAATATGCCCTTTATTTCTATTTCTATTCTTTCTCTAATCATTTTTGTGTTTTATTTATTGTCATTTCTTCCTTTATAGTTGATAATCCTTATCTTCATAATTTAAAAATTAAACTGCTATTGAACAAGCTCATTGTTCAGTCAAGGACGACTGTGAATATTATTTGAAAGTATTGATTTCACTGAATTCAATTCTGGAAGGATATTGAGAAGAAAATATTCTGAAATATCACTACATGAATTTAAACTTCATTTTAATTAAGGATCTCTAAAATTCTAGAATCCTACTGCAATTAAGGGTTAATTTCAAACCTTAACATGAAAATAATATAATGTATGTATTATATTGTGTAATATATTATATAATAATTTCAAATCTTAACATGAAAATGTTAGATTTTTAAATAAGTAATTTTTAATACTAAATATTTTAATAATATTACCAAAAAGACAACTTAAAATATGTGTTTAGGGGAAATTTGTCTTTGCTAGGTAGGTGTGAATGGAAGAAAGTAGTTGAAATGTAGATTAAGTTAACTTTGGGCTCAAGTTCCTTCACTAAAAATATGTCTCTCAAGTGAAAAGCTCAAATGTATTCCTAACCCCAAGGTATTGAATTTACAGAAACAGAAGCTATTCATAAGAAGGTGAGTATGAACAATTACAAGGACACCCATATTTCTAAAGAATTTCAATGACAGTTTTATGAGTCATTAAGTCCATTAGTGAGCCTGCACAATAAAATTATTAAGCTTCATAAAGAGACACCTGATTAAATAGGCTTTAAGTTAAATATAGCTTAAAATTACATATTCCAAATATAAAACTCAGAAAGACAAAGAATTACATTGTTCTACCAAATTTTATTTATTACTTTTTTCATTGTCTTTTGTCATTTTCTTTCTAGTAATATTGTTTGAAAAATAACTTTTCAGCAAACCTTTACTACTTTGTAAGCAAAAATTTTATATTACTTCTAAATTAAATACTTTTTAATTTATAATGCTTTTTAATATTTTTTTAAATGGTACATTTTTTTATTTTAGGTCAAGCAGTAATTTCATTGCCTCTAAACATATAGGACAGTAAAAAGGCACGTTAAATTTAATTTGTATATATTTTAATGTTATTTGATGGCTTGGCTTTACTTTATATTATTTACAAGTAATCTTAGTATCATGCTTTGCCATTATAAAATTAGCTAACTTAGTGCTTTTCAAAAATGATAAATTGTGAAATGGGTTCATTCTAACCTTTGTTTTGGTGGGGTGAAGAAGGGGAGAATTTCTGTTGAACTGAAATACATATGAAGGAAAGGGAAAAAGTACAACGAATGTTCACAAACCTTAATAAACCCATGTAACTGGAACCCGGAATTAAGAAGCAAAAGCCCTTGCCTCCTTCCCTTAACTCTATTTTAACCCCTGCACACCTAAGGTAGCCAGAATCCTGAATTTGGATGGGTTAGGTTCCTCCTAACCTTTTTTTTCAAAATTTTGTTCCACAGATTCAGTCTTTCTAGGCACTTCTAGGCATGTCCTAGAAGGATGCCAAGAAGCATACTTCACATGATCCTCAGCGGAAACTCCTCTTCTAGTTAATGTGGGATTTAATCATGACAGAAAATATTAGCAAAGAGAGTCCACTGATAAAATATTGCCAACAGGAACCAGTAGGTGGCATAATGGTTACCTTGGTGGAGGCCCACATAGTCAAATGCAGTTCAAGTCCCGGACCTGGTGGCTTAAAACTCATGCCAGGCATGCATGCATGCATGTCCAAGATCCTGAGAGAAGAATGGAGAAGGGCTTGTGGCATGGCCATTTGCCTTAAGGTGTGATTTCTCACTTTCTCTCTGTCTCTCCTGTTGAGCACATGTGCCCTATAGCAAAAATATATAAAAAAAAAATCATTTCCAACATAGATTATTTTTCTTGAGAATCAAAGGGTTTCCTCAGACCTTAGGATGCATGCAAATAACCAGCAGGATTTAAACACAGATTTCTGGTTCCATCCCCAGAGTTTCTGATTCTATAGGTCTGGGTTAGACCTCAATGTCTAAAAGGTTTCCAAAGTTTTGCTGATGCTGCTGGTCCGGATACCTCACATTGATAACTAGCTTATGTCCTAGATTGGCAGAACTGGAAAATAAAATAAGCTTTGTATCTTTATTACTTAGAATTAAGTATGTTCTTAATATTTAAACTACTATGGTCAACGCATTAATCTTACTTCAATAACACATTACCTCTCCAAGTTCAACCATAAGTTCACAGTATCTCTGAATCTGCCCTAATCTCAAGTGTATTTCAGCAGCTTCCTTCAGTCTTTCCTCTTTAGTAGGTACGCCAATACCACCACCAAATTTAGACATTTTGACTGTTGTTAGTTCTTGGGCTTCAGACTGGTAAAAATAAATAAATAAACGAACATTTCATTACACAAGAGCTGGATCTAATAGATGATCATAAAAACATTACTTATAAGTTAAAATTTAAAAAGCATATAGCACTGGAAACACAATATTTAAAAAATACATTTTTCTCCATAAAATATGATATATTTCTGGGCCAGAGGTGGTACACTAGATCCCAAATGGCTGGTTGGCTGTGTGGTTTGAGTCCCGGACCTGGTGGCTTGAAACTCACGCCGGGCACTTGTGCCTGCGTGCCCAAAAATCCCAACAGGAGACTGGAGGAGAAGGGATTATGTGGTATGGCCATCTGTCTTGGGGTGTGATTTCTCACATTTCCTCTCTCTGTCTCTCTAGTGAGCACATATGCCCGATAACAAAAACTAAAAAATACAAATAATTAAAAATTTGAAAACCTAATATTTTAGTGTGGGTTGTAGGAGACTGGAGGAGACAGACTGTTTCTCCTCACCTTTAACACTCTATAAAAGTTCAGAGGCCAAAAGGTAGTGAAAAAATAATATACAACTATTCAAAATATAAAGACTCCTAACAAAAATAAAAAGTTACTGGCTCATTTTAATTGGCGCTTACCATGTCAACAGATTTTGTTGTTATAATCATTAAGTGTTTTGTTTGTGATTTAAAGCAGTACTCCTTCTTTATGAAAATAACTGTTTCTTATAAGCACCAAATATTGTGAAATGGGTTCATTCTAACCTTTGTTTTGGTGGGGTGAAGAAGGGGAGAATTTCTGTTGAACTGAAATACATATGAAGGAAAGGGAAAAAGTACAACGAATGTTCACAAACCTTAATAAACCCATGTAACTGGAACCCGGAATTAAGAAGCAAAAGCCCTTGCCTCCTTCCCTTAACTCTATTTTAACCCCTGCACACCTAAGGTAGCCAGAATCCTGAATTTGGATGGGTTAGGTTCCTCCTAACCTTTTTTTTCAAAATTTTGTTCCACAGATTCAGTCTTTCTAGGCACTTCTAGGCATGTCCTAGAAGGATGCCAAGAAGCATACTTCACATGATCCTCAGCGGAAACTCCTCTTCTAGTTAATGTGGGATTTAATCATGACAGAAAATATTAGCAAAGAGAGTCCACTGATAAAATATTGCCAACAGGAACCAGTAGGTGGCATAATGGTTACCTTGGTGGAGGCCCACATAGTCAAATGCAGTTCAAGTCCCGGACCTGGTGGCTTAAAACTCATGCCAGGCATGCATGCATGCATGTCCAAGATCCTGAGAGAAGAATGGAGAAGGGCTTGTGGCATGGCCATTTGCCTTAAGGTGTGATTTCTCACTTTCTCTCTGTCTCTCCTGTTGAGCACATGTGCCCTATAGCAAAAATATATAAAAAAAAAAAATCATTTCCAACATAGATTATTTTTCTTGAGAATCAAAGGGTTTCCTCAGACCTTAGGATGCATGCAAATAACCAGCAGGATTTAAACACAGATTTCTGGTTCCATCCCCAGAGTTTCTGATTCTATAGGTCTGGGTTAGACCTCAATGTCTAAAAGGTTTCCAAAGTTTTGCTGATGCTGCTGGTCCGGATACCTCACATTGATAACTAGCTTATGTCCTAGATTGGCAGAACTGGAAAATAAAATAAGCTTTGTATCTTTATTACTTAGAATTAAGTATGTTCTTAATATTTAAACTACTATGGTCAACGCATTAATCTTACTTCAATAACACATTACCTCTCCAAGTTCAACCATAAGTTCACAGTATCTCTGAATCTGCCCTAATCTCAAGTGTATTTCAGCAGCTTCCTTCAGTCTTTCCTCTTTAGTAGGTACGCCAATACCACCACCAAATTTAGACATTTTGACTGTTGTTAGTTCTTGGGCTTCAGACTGGTAAAAATAAATAAATAAACGAACATTTCATTACACAAGAGCTGGATCTAATAGATGATCATAAAAACATTACTTATAAGTTAAAATTTAAAAAGCATATAGCACTGGAAACACAATATTTAAAAAATACATTTTTCTCCATAAAATATGATATATTTCTGGGCCAGAGGTGGTACACTAGATCCCAAATGGCTGGTTGGCTGTGTGGTTTGAGTCCCGGACCTGGTGGCTTGAAACTCACGCCGGGCACTTGTGCCTGCGTGCCCAAAAATCCCAACAGGAGACTGGAGGAGAAGGGATTATGTGGTATGGCCATCTGTCTTGGGGTGTGATTTCTCACATTTCCTCTCTCTGTCTCTCTAGTGAGCACATATGCCCGATAACAAAAACTAAAAAATACAAATAATTAAAAATTTGAAAACCTAATATTTTAGTGTGGGTTGTAGGAGACTGGAGGAGACAGACTGTTTCTCCTCACCTTTAACACTCTATAAAAGTTCAGAGGCCAAAAGGTAGTGAAAAAATAATATACAACTATTCAAAATATAAAGACTCCTAACAAAAATAAAAAGTTACTGGCTCATTTTAATTGGCGCTTACCATGTCAACAGATTTTGTTGTTATAATCATTAAGTGTTTTGTTTGTGTTCTAAAGCAGTACTCCTTCTTTATGAAAATAACTGTTTCTTATAAGCTCCAAATTCAAATTCCTGCCATAATTATCTCCATGCTCTAACAGTTAACTATTGAGCTTCCATTGAAAATATATAAGCTACTTCTTTCTAGTCCCAGGACAGGTTTTGTTGTTGGTATTGGGTATTGTTCCAGATATAAAGTAAATAATCATTTTGTACTGAAATGCATTGAAAGCTACAGAATAATCAGTTTTAATAAAATGTATCCCAGGATAAATTTTGGGCCCTCAGAGATTAAAATCAGAATAGTGTATAGGTTGTAATCATCTGGTAATAGGATTAAAAAATAAAATACTTCAAAAAATTACGTGACCTTTGAAGAATTTAATGGGATTCAACCTATGAAAATTGTGGCCACATTAATCATTTCTCAAATGATTCGTACTCTCATTACTGGTTTTACTGACGATATATCGCCTCAGTGTTCATTTTGTCAGTATATTAATCTATTCAAACACATAGCTAGCTAGCTAGATAGACAGGGATTCATAGGTATATAATTTTATACTTAATTACAAATAAGGCATACATCATACTTTCATAATTTACTTACTGTTCTAAATTTAACCAGATGTTTCAAATGTATTATTCCTTTGCAATAGTTCTGAGGAAGTAAGCTATCATCTTGCCCTTTTATTACAGCAACCAAGTTCCATAAATTGTCACTGCCACCTGGAGGCTAAAAAGTTGAATAATGAAAGATATAATGGTAAATTAAAAACCCATAACACTTTAATATTCAAAAATATTGTAATGTAGGTATATCTAAATTGAAACATTAACCAAATACTAAATATATCACCTCATTTATTGTTTCTGATTTTACATTTGTTGTCTGACACTGTATAGATTATGGAAGATTATCTCACTGACTTGGGATAGCGCAGATAAATATGTGACAACTTAGTGTTTAATTATTCAATTTGGCTAAAAGAAAGATGTACGCATTTAATTCCTCTAATACTTACTGATAAACATTCTGAAAACCATCTTAGCTTTTTCAATCGAGGATCACCCGCTAGCTTTTCTACTTCTTGTTTAATATTTCTTGACACTTTACCACACAACAGGGGAGGAGCACCTTGTTCTATAGCATAATCTGAAGAACAAACATAATTCAGTGAGAAAAGGTTCCTTTTAAAACATTAGCTAAAAAAAAAACTAGTAATGCATACCAGTGTTCCCAATAATTTCTTCCCAAGGTCTGTCTGCCAGAATATTTATTTGTAAAGGAGTGATTAAAGGTGTTAATGACCAGAGTCTCACTGTAGAATCACGGGAGCAAGAGGCCATGGTGAAAGGGCGACTTGGATGACATGTTAAACCTGATGGAAAGAATAAACGAATGTAACTAAAGGAACATTGAGGAATATTTTTATTATTTATATGTCCTTCATAAAACTTCTATAAATCTGAAGTTATGGAAACATGTTGTGAATGACTGGAAGCTTTTCAGAGTCAACTTTAGGCTTGCCTTTAAGTCACATTTTTGACTGAAAGTAATGGAAAATATAATACATTTTTAGTATACTTTATAAATATAAACATAAAATTAATAATTATTAGGAAGCACATGGTCCTGGACAAAAACAGTGACGTTATATTTTATTGGGTTAAGCAGTATGTTGTAATGCCAATAGGGTACATGGTGAGGAGCACCTTGTTCTATAGCATAATCTGAAGAACAAATATATAACAGTTGGATGGATTGGAGCTCTAATTATGAGATGAAGGGAGAATTTAGAATATCAACATGTATGATTTTTATTTCACAGTCAGTCACACATTACCTTACCTAAAAGGCCACTAGGATAAGAGCACATGAATCTGAAAGAATGTATTAGGGTTACTTTCTTTAAAAAAATATTTTTGCATTTTTTTAAGGTTTTGTCATAGGGTGTATGGATGAGACAGAGAGACAGTATGAAGGAAAGTGAGAAATCACTCCCCAGGGGGTATGGCCATGCCACAATTCCTTCCCCATTCTGCTCCTGGGATTTTTGGCACAGATGCACACACACCCAGTGTGATTTTCAGGCTGGCAGGTCCAGGACTCAACCCACGGTCGGCCATGTGGGAGTCTAGCATTCTTAACCACTACTCACCTCAAAGTTTGGTAATGAAAGTAAAAACAACTAAAAATGAGAGAAAAGTGATGTGTAGAAAATAAGTAATCTGAGTTTCTATTCTCAGTTCAATCTTATCAATATTAAAAACCTTGGCATTACATTAAAAATGCATTGCCCTAAATATCCAAGAATAGGGGGATGGCTAAATAAATTTACTCTATTGATTTCCTGTTCTAAAACTTACCTCTAGAGTGATGATAAGGAGAAAAATCCAACATACGCATTTATATATGTGCATGGGTATATAAGTATACCTTGTGTGTGTGTGAGTGTGTGTGTACACAGAAACAGGGACACACCTCCAGAGATAAACACACACACACACACACACACACACAATAGTGCTAACAACTGTCATATAACACTTTCTGATGATTCTTCTATCTTCAGTGTATTCTGATAGCTCTGTAATAAACACGTCTATTTTCTAATGAGAACAAAGTCATTTTAAAATGAAGTACTACAAGATTTCTTCAAAACTGCTGCATTGCCCAGAAGTGACAAGCATTATTAATACATGAAAATAACATACGTGAAAAACACTTTACCGTATACATCTGCACCATGATCATACACAGTGTCCAGACAAATTCCTTCTCGTGTGTCCCATACTTTTATAGTATAGTCCCAGCTGCCAGATAGCAGTAAATACGGAATCTCAGTGTTCCACATTAATCCCCTCACAGGTGCAGTGTGTCCACTGAGAATATTTATGCAAGTGTCTTGAGTGTAATCCCAGATTCGGACAGTACTGAAAAGAGAATATTGTGCATATTATCACATCGAAGTTATCATCTATCTAAACAATTAACATATTCTTAACAGCATACAATAATTTTTTAATATATTTAAAAAACATTTTATGTTTTAAGATATATTGAGATGGCCTTCTTTACAGGAGATGAAAATAAATATTTAACAAGGCTAACTTAGCCTATTCCAGGATATATTCTTTCTTGACTTTTATTGTTCATTTATTAATGGTAATAAATATACCATTTGAACAGTTTAGATGTGAAAGTTCTTTCTGAAAATGAAATATGCTTAACAGTAACAACCGAAAAGAAAATATGACTAATAATATAGACAAAATAATTTAAGAGGACTCAAATTATTTGTAAATCATGAAAGTATAACATGTATGACAATGGGTATTATTTGAAAAATCACTTATAATTTGTATACTTATCAATACCAAAAATCATTTATTTATGCTTTTATCAGTAAAATTAGTTACTTGGTCAATGTGGAATCAATATTAGGTCAAGTAGAAAAGTTAAATATAAGAAGATTCATATTACTTGGATCTACTGATTATAGGAAGAACAAATGTTCGTGAAATTAAAATTTGAACTCAGAATTAATTTAAGACCTCTAAATGTCAATGCTGCTTGGACAATTCACAATAATTGTTTAGTAGCAGATGTATATTAACTTGATGATACTAAAATATGAATGCCTCAAAGGTTATTGTTCACTATAAAGAATAACATCATATATTTTTATTTCTTTAAAGCATATCTCTTTCTGCTTTATATAAAGACACCATTTTTTTCCTTTCCTTATCCTAGTACAGCCCAACACATATATCCAAATATATTATAAGCTAAATTTTTGGTGCTAATTTCTTATATATGTAAGCACTTGAATATTTTAAGTTTGATATATACTTTCATAAGTAGCAAGTAAATATTAAAGTAGTTGTTATCAAAATAATTTTATGTTATTGTAGGGTTCACCAGAAAAGGTATCCTTCCTTTTATGAATAAGTTATGCTAGGTAATCATCAGTCTTTGAAGTCCCAATGTATGTTTTTTGGGCCAAACATAGAAAAAGGCTTTAATATGCTTCACTGTACATAAAGAGCTCATTAGGCTTTTAGGCTGAAGTATAGAAAGTACAGTATGTCTGAGTTCTGCCATAAGAACACTGGTAATTAATGGTTTCACTACAATTTTGACTTTTTATTTAAAGGTGCTAGAGAATGTGAATAACAGATAACCTTCATACATATTAACAATGACTATCAATGGGACCAATAACCATAATTTAGTAAATCCTTTCAAATTTACTATAGTCAATAAAACAATTACTACTATCTTTCTGAAAACATTTTTTAGACAATAATTAAAGATTATTTAGATGCTAAAGTCTATGTTAAGAGAATGTAATAATCTCAAAAAATGACCTCATATTAATTTTCACATGATAATTGTAAGTAATATTTCAATAACCTACAACATCTCACAATTGTTTCTCTTCCTAAATTTGGATTTATGCCAAAAATACAAGATAAGAAAAACCTAACTTGTGGTTATATGTATGGTGACTTGCATAAAAGAAATTTTTTTAACCTAAATTTCTCTTATCTATAAAACTATATTATGGGAGCCAGCAGGTGGCATGGTGGTTAAAGCAGTGGTCTCCCACATGGTCAATTTCGGTTTGAATCCTAGACTTGGCAGCTTGAAAATCACTCTGGCACATGTGCGTGAGGACCCAAAATCTCAGGAGGAGAATGAAGGAAAAGGGATTGTGGTTTGGCCATCCTCCTTGGGGTTATTTCTCACTGTCCCTCTCACTGTTTCTCTTTCTGGCAAGAACATACACATTATGACAAAACCTTAAAAAATATATACTACGTAAATCAATCTACTTGAACATAAAATATATACAAGATTTCAGAAATTCTCACGAATCTTAAAAAAAAAAATTATATCACTCTCATTTTAAAAATATCTTCTCTTCCTGCTAACACTCATGATTGGGTCGGCAGGTGGGCAGTGGTTTAGGTGGCTGTATTCCCATATGGCTGACTGCAGTTCAAGTCCTGGACCTGGCAGCTTGATTTCTCACTTTCCTACTCTCTCTCTCTGTTTCTCTCTGGTCAACTTAAAATAAATAAATAAATAAAATAATAATAATAAATAAAATCTTAAAAAATTCATGATCATCTTTTGTTCCATTCTTGATGGTAATAGAGAATAGCTATTTCCAATATTAAACATAAGAATATGACTAAAAAAAACCACTTCCTGTAGCTGTAGCTTATATTTATTTGTTTCAGAGCTTGCTTTTCCACATAGATGCCTTTAAATTTTTTTTTTCTATTAACTTTCTTGTTAACAAACTAGGAATAAACATCCATAATGAGCAAAATAAATAAGACGACAAAAATTATGAACATAATAATAAAACAAACATGGTAGAGTATATGGTAGAACTCAATTTTGGTTGAATGCAGTTAGGTTCTTAACTATTACTTTATATAGAAAGTATATATTTCGAACATCTCTACATACAATGTAATCATTTAAACATGTACATTTCTAGGAGAATTAATCTTACAATTTTAAGGACCAGAAAATTAGAATCCAAAATACGTACCCATCATCAGAACCACTGCAAAGAATTCCCTCTCTCAGAGGAGACCACTTTACATGAAACACTTTTGCTGTGTGCCCACTAAATACTTTCAGTGGTTGATCAGAGTTGGTGGCCACATAATAGACACGAACATTTTTGTCTTCACAGCCAGTGGCTATCATGTCTCTAGAATATCAATGGAACATTAAAACATAAAAGAATTTGATACTATTTATTCTAATAATTAAAACATGTCAATGTATAATAGTTCTAATTTTTTTCATAAGCCAGAGTGTATACAAGCTCAGCACTTCCAGTGGGGTGTGGTCATATTGCAATCCCTTCTCCATTTCTCCATCCAGCTGGGATTTAGGACATGCATGCACATATGCCTAGCACGTTTTCCAATCTGCCAGACTCAGAATTCTAACCACACGGTTGGCCATATGGCATCTGGTTCCCTTAACACTAGGCCATTGGACTGGGCCCAACAGTTCTAATGTCTAAAATAAATTATTTGCTTCTTTAATGAAATTTGACTAAGAACTTACATATGTGAAAACGTCATGTATATCATGCAGTATGTGTAGGGACATCTTCTGAGTAAACTTGTGGCCTGACCTTTCCCTTGACCTATCCTTTCAGCAGAGTGGTTGGTGGAATTTACAGGGGCTGCTCTGGAGGAACATCCACAGAGCTCAGGAAACATCCTGATCCAACAAGTGAAGACCAGCCCCTGCTCTGTTTTAGGTAATCTCTATAACTTAACCATTATCCCTTTGTTGCCTATGAGAATGTACTCCCTACATCTGCAGATAGGCTACCCTTCACTAATTAAACATATGTGGGAGATATCTATTCATATATGAAACCAAGGGATACCCATGGCACCAGCATGTCTAAACCTTCAAGGATGAGGAGATCGGTATCACTTGTTTTCTGCTTCTGTAATATATCAACCAGCTCTGTGGAATGTCACGAGGAACATGTATGCACATTTTCTTTGCCTAATAAATAAAGATGCTCAGCTTGCCTGAGCGGCACAGACAGGCACAGACTGCCTGTGTATACTGCTACTCTGTCTTTGTGTCACTTTATTTCTGTTTCCTCTTCTTAGATGGAGCTAAGTTTGCTGACAGATTGGCCACCGACAGACTGATCACCGACAAGTATGGGAAGAGTTTCTCTCTCAGTGTTTCAATTGGTTGAATTTTTATTTCTCTTAGATCAGAGGTGATTATATTTATGTTTTCATAATTTCTTTTTTAAATATCCAGAGACATAACTTCTTGGATCTTAAGAAGGTTCCCAAATGTGAATGATGAGTTTAAGCCACTGGGGTCCAGGACTTGAACCACGGTCGACTATATGGGAGTCCTGTGACATAGCCATTACGCCAACTGCTGGTCCCTAGGCTTACGTGTTTGTAAGCAAACTATTATTGTATGCCCTGAACATGTGTTAGATTCTTGTTTTTTTTTGTTTGTTTGTTTTGTTTTTTTTGTGATGTAAGTGCAAACAGCAAAGTGCTGCTCTGGAAGAATGTTGGAAAAGCTCCTTGTAGACCTCCAGATGCTCTGTTTGATGCAACTAAATATCCTCTGGGAATCCAGTATGAACATTTCATGTTCTCTGCTCATTATTCTCATTAGTTAGAGTAAGCTAAGCAACTACTTGTAGCCAGTGGTCATATTTGGAATAGTATTAGGAAAGGAATTAGGAGTACTAGGCCAGCCTGTGAAAATCATGAACCTGCCAGAACACTCTCTACATGAGGTACATCTAACCATCATGTAAACAGTCTCGATGTTGTAAATATAAAGAGGGGATGTTATACACCTTGAAACGCTTCCAGACTTTCAAATTATTGATATTGCTACAGGGATACAAGGCTTATATTTATTTAAGCTCAAATGCAGAAATACAAATTTGTGAACTGGCATGCCGAGTTGTAAATACACAGCTTCTCTCTTCCCTAGATACACTAGGATAGTTTCTACATATTGGGAAAATACATTTTGCCTACACATATATATTTACATGTATACATGACCATATTTTTTAATATATGCATATGTAGATACATAAATATAGAATCTTAGAAATAATATCATAAAAATTCAGAGAATGCAATAGAAATATCTAAATGTTAAGTTCAGAGTTTTATCAATAAGCTTTAATAAGTTCAGGTATTTTACCTACTAAGCTGCTAAACAGAATATGAATACAACAATTCGAACAGTTTAGAAAGCTATTTAAAATAAAAAATAAAATTAATGGGTTAGTTCTGCAGCCAACTAGTTAAGGTAGCTGGACTCCACATGGTTGATAGTGGTTAAGTCCCAGAACCAGTGATTTGAGAAACATGCCAGGTACATTTGAGCGCATGCCCCAAATCCTGACAGGATGAAGTGGAAGAGAGGGTATTGATGTGTGACCACACTCCACTGGAGGATGCTTTCTCTATCTCGCTCTCTCTCATCAGTACATGAGGTCTCTAACTTATAATCAAACAAGCAAACAAAAATATTAAGTGGTCAGGAAAGTCAGGATGTATTTTTCTATGTTTTTCCAATGCAAAAATGCGTCATGACTTTCCTGATGACCCAATAGACACACTTGGTGGTAAACATAATTGGGAAGTATAAAGGACTTCCAGTATCATTTTATTAAAAAGCTTTCTTACCCAACCAAACATATTGCATTAATATCTAACTTTTATTTCAACTGGCCAAATGCTTATTAACTTTAACTGGCCAAATGCGAGAAATAAGAATGTGGGACTGTTCTCTTGGTCAGACATAACGTAATTCTATTCATCTGTATATTAAAAAATATTTGTGAAACTTTTACTTTTTCAAGACACTGTGATGGGTAGCAACATAGTGTTTTGCTAAAATATACTGTCAAACATAGATAATACAGATGGCAATCCCACTGGGCTTATATTTGGAGAGTGAGAGAGTCAATATGCAAACAATCACACAATTAAAAGCTTAATTTTAATTAAGTAATCCAAAGTTATATTAGAAAGGAAGTTCACCTAAATTAAGACTTTTTCTGTGTATGTGCTTTTGAACAGAGCCCAAGCCAGGACGCATGTGTTGGGGTTGGGTGGGGAGTATATTCTGGTAAATGGAGACAGTATGAGTGAGAGCTTTGAAATGAAAATCTACATAGTTCAAGAAACTGAAAGCCAGTATGGGTGGATGCAAAAATTAAGAGGGTGCAAGGCTTAGAATAAGATTAATAAGGTAGACAGGAATGAGATTATGCAGGACTTGCTAAGAGTTTGCATTTTATCCTACAACCAATGGGAAACTGTTGTAGGATTTGAACTAATGAAGAATGGTGTGCTCAGATCTGTGCATTACACGTTTATTCTGACTGTGACATAGAGAAATGGGCTGGGGAATGGGGAAGTGGTGATAAAAGATGCAAATTCTGGAACAGTTTAAAGGCTTTTACCGGGGTTCAAACCAAATAAAGCCATGTTATAGATTTAGTGGCAGAGGGATGGTGGAAAAAGAATATTTCGATGGAGAACATAACAGTTATTAGTGGTGGACTGGAAGTGGAAAATGAGAGGCAGTAAGATGTAAAAGAAAAAGCCAAGGATTCTGGCTTTAGCAGTTTTTGTTGTTCACCCTATCAGTCACTGAGATAGGGCATACTGGGGATGAGCTGGTCATGAGCAAGATTTCCATAGCATCTAACCATGAGTTATACATTTTTCCATACTTACTAGAAAAATACCTAAGTCCACAGGTAGAGTAAAGTTTTAACATTTGAATCTATGTATTTCCTCGCATGTAGTATGAAGAAGCATAAAATAATTTACATTGTTTTTAAAATTACCTTAAAAAGACTGGATTTTAAAATATCATATATATATGATATATTAAAAATAAATATATATTATACATAATATAAATACATATAATATATTATATAATAGTACATATATTTAATATAAAATAAATTATGTTTTTATTTTATATTTAATATAAAATAATATTGTTATTTTAAAATTTGCTGTAGATCACATGCACTCACCAGAGAGAAAGAGAGAGAGAAAGAGAGAGAGAAAGAGAGAGAGAGAGAATTGTAACACAAAATTGTTAGAAGAAATGAGGTGAATTAAAGGTCCACTTTCAGTGGTGATTTGTCTTGGATAAACTAGTTTTTACATGGTGAGTACTTGTTTCTTAAGCCAAGGTTGGTTTTTCAAAAACATCCACTTAATTTCTACATTTCTACATCCAGCGCAAAAGTGTTAGCAGCAAATGGAGGCAATGCAGAGCCACAGTGGACCAATACCACTGTAGATTGTTAAAAGGAATTAAAGGAAGGACTACATGTTTATGGTAGAAGCACATACAGAATTAATTTGTTTACAGTTCTCAGTAGCTATCAGTATGATTTTCCCCCATAATATCAGACAGTTGTTTTGACAGGAAAAAAATCAGTATTTATAAATCATATAAAAACTTCATGAAGTGCAAATAGTTAAAGTAAATGAACAATTACAAAGCTGTTTCTTATTTGCTAGGCAAGGAGACTATTTTCTTTTTTTTTTTTTTTTAAGAATCTTTTTTTTTATTTTTTTTTTTTTTTTTAAAATTTTTCACCAGAGAAGAAGAGGAGAGAAAGAGAAAGAGGAGGAGGAATAGAGTGAGAGAAAGAGAAAGAGAGAGGACAAGTGAGAAAGCAAGTCACCAGGTCTGGGACTCGAACAGCAGTCAGCCATGCGGGTGTTCAGCACCCTTAACCACCACACTACCTGCCGGCCCCAAGAAGACTATTTTCTATAAAGAGTGATGAGTATAACCTGTGAAAGTAGCACTAAACTTTATGATTATTTTAACTCTCCAAAATGTAATTATTATTTGTTGGGTGAAAAAAAATACTTACTTGTTGTTTTGACTCCAGTCACAACCAAACACCGCAGCTGGATGTTTGTATTTGTGTAGCACTCTGCCATCAATTGTTCGAATAATACTGAAATTATTTACAATATGTTAACAGAAAAGCAACATTACTCAAGGGAACAAATTCAGAACTTCAAACTTCAAAAGGAAGTATTCCAGGATAGAGACAAGGTCTCTGCAAATGCAAAGGTCATACAAGAGAGTGTATAAATCAAGAATGCCAATAGGCGATAGACTGGAATGAGTTCTAGAATACCATAGCACAGTCGAGTAATGACAGCTGGAGACAATTCAATGTATACTTCAAATAGAAGAGTGGATCTCTAATGTGCACAACACAAAGTAATGATAAATGCCCGAGATGATGAACATGTTTATTGCCCTGATTTGAAAATTACACAATGTATACATCTTGAAAAACTGCGCTGTGCCCCATAATTTTGATATGTAAATTGCAAGTCACAGCAAATGGTGCTGTAAAAAACGGGTATCCACCTGCAGAAAGATGAATGTGGACCCCTATCTCTCACCATAAACAGAAATCAACTCAAAGTGGAACAAAGATCTAAACCTAAGTCCTCAAACTACGAAATTACTGGTGCAAAACACTGGGGAAACTCTGGGAGACATAGGAATAGGCATGGACTTCTTAAATAAGATCCCCAAAGCATAGAAAATAATCCCAGAAATAGACAAATGAGATTACATCAGATTAAGAAGTTTCTGCATAGCAAAAGACACAGTAATTAGTGTGAATTGACAGCCCTCAGAATGGGAAAATATTTTTGTAAACTATGCCTCACAAAAGGGACTGGTAACCAGAATACACAGGGGACACAAGTGGCTTACCTGAAATAAAATGATCAACCAATTAAAAGATGGGAAAATGAGCTAAACAAACAACTTTCTAAGGAAGACATATGAACAGTTGAAAGCATATGAAAAATGCTCAACATCCCTTATCATAAGGGAGATGCAAATCAAAGTCACAATGAGATACCACCTAACCCCAGTCAGAATGACTGATTAAATAAACAAAAAGTGAGAAATTCTGGCAAGGTTGTGGTGAAAAGGAAATGCTTCCTACACTGTTGGTGGGAATGTAAATTAGTCCAACCACTGAGGAGAACAATACAAACATCCCTTAAAGATCTACAAATTGAACTATGGTTTCTTGCTTTCTTTTTTTTTTTTTATATAAGTTTATTTATTTGCTTATTGTAATTTTACCAGAGCGGGACAGAGTGATAGTGAGAGAGGAAGTGAGAAAACAAGCCACCAGGTCTGAGACTTGAACCACAGTCGGCCATGTGGGAGTCCAGCGCCCTTCACCACGCCACTTGATTTCTTGCTTTCTGTCTTTCTGTCTCTCTCTCTTTCTGGTGAGTGCACACGTCCTATAGCAAAAACCTCTAAAAAAAAATAATAAAAAAGAAATAACAAGACCCTGGCATTTGATAGAAAATGGATGAATATGAAAGATTTATTGCTGAAAGAAGCAAGTCAGGCTATGAAAGAGAGACACTGTATGTCTCCACTTAATATATACAGACTGTCTGTACTCTATGGTGGAAACTAAAAGATTAGAGTATATAGACACATGGAAAATGGTTAAATATTCTGGAAACAGTGTGAGAAGACAGTGGGAGAAGGAGGAGAGTTAGAGGAAAGAAATCAAGTGGAAAAATAGAGAGGCAAGACATTTATGGGACACAGAAATGAATGATTATCTACTGATAACGTGCATGGTACCTTCAACCGGACTGGTGTGAAGTACATTCATGCTGGGTAAATTCACTTTAAAAGGTGTAGTAATGTATAATAATTTAATGTATAAAATAAATGGAAATAATAATAATAATAATAAAGAAAACATTGTAACCCCCCAAAAGAGAAATCATCATCATAATGGTATTTTTAAAGTACTATATAAATTGACAAATACGAGTATTTTTGTATCACATAATGTTAATTGTAATAATCATCCTTATTTTTAACGTATCGCTATGCTATTATTTATTAATGATATAGTTACATACCATGTGTCTATATGGGATTATAAATAATATTTATAATACTCGGTAAAGCTCTACAAATGAAACATTGATACACAATATGAATGATTAAAAGTATCCTTTATAAATGGTGTCATTTTGTAATATCATGCTAGTACTTACCAGGAACCATCACTACTGCAAGTTGCTATTCTTTTGGAATCTTTATGACTCCAGGCAATGCAGAATATTCCATTTTTTCCATGCTTCAAAAAATGCAAAATACCTATCAATAAGAAATAATTCACCCCTTTTTTCTCTTATTTATTTACTTCTTCTAAGTATTACTTTTCTATTAAAAACTTGCTCTAGATGATAGTAACCAAAATATTTCTGACAGAAGCAACCTGAAGGTATACTTTAAGAATATGGAGAGGGGCCAGCAGGTAATGTGCTGGCTAAGGTGCTGGACTCCCACATGGCCAACTATGGTTCAAAGCCTAGACCTGGTGGCTTGCTTTGTCACTTTCCCTCTCTCTCTGTCTTGGTCTCTCTTTGATCAAATTAAAATACAATAATAATAAGTAAAATTAAAATAAATAATTCTTAAAAAAAATATGTGAAGCAGTGACGATAAGATACAATCTATTGTTATGCGGGACTTATGCACCAGTGGATGGACTCAGTGTGAGCAGACCTGTGTAGGCTGCTCCTCTTTCTCTCTCTTTTTTCCTCTCATACTAACATGTGTGTGTAAATGCTCTGTCATGAATGAAAGAAACCATTGTTTTAAGATATAAATTTGGAGACAAACTATAGAGTTGAAATCTGCTTCTTCACCCATTCATAGGATGAAGTTCTACTTAATGCCTTTTTTCCTGTGAATACCAATATGGAGAATGAAGATAGTTACCGCTTTCAAATCTCGTGCTATTACAACTACAGTATAAAAATGCTGCAAGCAATTGTTATTTTTGGTTGTTCCACTGAATTTCAAAGTTTTATTTTTATATAAGAAAATCAAATGTAAGGTTTTCCCTTTTGTGAATCCCTCTACATTTACCAGTGTCTCTGAATTCTAGGACTGTGGAAGAATCCGGGGTGTAGTTATAGGTGCTGTGATAACAATTTTTCCAAACCTAAGGAACACATTATATTGGGGAATGTTATCCATCATGTGAGGGGTAAATAAAGGTAAATCTATCCATTTATAAATTTTAATTAAAAACATTTTTATTTTATATAGTACTCAAATTGTAGCTTCCATTAAGGGGAAATTAAAGTGGCTTTTTTATCCTGTATTTTAAGGTTATTCTAGAAATACACAATTCCAATTTCTTAAGGTAATCTCCAATTTGCTGGTTTTGACTATTTGTAGATAAAGGAGGGTAGGTTTATTCAGGTAGATACGACAGTGGGACCATATTTATTCAATTTAAGGGTTCGGAATTTTTTGTCAGCTTGATTTAGGGGACACATGAAAATGGGGACATGTGGCTCTTCTGATATTCTGCATTTTCTTTTTAAGGAATGTTTTAAGTTTATTTATGTATTTCCTCAGAGAGAGATAGAGATAGCCCCAATAGGGTCCTCACATGTCAATCTGCCCTGTCTTAACTGGCCTGAATTGCAAAGACACACATGCACTTGCTGTGGTCAGGGAGGTCCTGGAATGCAGTCTAGAACTTTCCCGTGCGGGCTCAGTTGCACAAACACAATGCCACTATCTGGCTCTTGCATTTCCTTTTGTGGGACACATGGATTTTAGTCAATTAAAACTGACAATCTTGGGGCAGAAGGTGGTGTAGTAATTAGAACATTGGACTTCCACATGCTCGCCCACGGTTCAAATCCTGGACCCACTGGCTTGAAAATACCTGGGTGCATGTGTGTGCATGCCAAAATCCCAAGAAGAGAATGGAGAGAAGAGACTGCAGCATGAACATCCTCCCTGGGGGAGTTATTTCTTGCTTTCTGTCTCTCCAGTGAGCACATGTGCCCTACAGCAAAAATCTCTCTCTCAAAAAAACAAACAAACAAAAACAAAACAAAACAAACAAATAAAACCCTGAGATTCTTAATTATCCTGTATTTATTACATAGTCTTTTGTCAAAGTTTCCTCTTTTGTGTGTAAAACTACTTATTGGTGGTTGATAAAGTTTTTCTAGTACTCTACATTTACTATATTACTGCAGTAACTCCAGAAGATCAAACCTACTAAAGGGAATCCTTCAAAAGATAATAATCTGTTATATAAATGGTTTAAAAGTCTCAAATATATAAACAGCTTTCAGAGAAATTAGATATTTAATAAGCCTCAGCAATAATCATTTCAAATTAATGAAATATTCAAGATAGTGAGAGACAGTCTTGAATCCTATTCATATTTCCCAATTCATTTCTAACATACTATAATTACATATGTACTTTTCAAATATTAATGAAACTTAGTAAAATACACGATGACAGTAAAACTCCAAGCCAAAGGATAAACATAATTTGTGATGTTACAAATAGGAAGACAACAGGTTTTAGAATTTGTCACAGAATAATAGAATTTGAGTAATGGAAGGAAATCTAATAAATGACATAATCTAATTCAGTTTTTTAAAAATAAATATATGTGGTCAAGGCAAAAAAAATGATTTTTACTATGAAGGGCTAGTTAATAAGAGATCCAGGGCTAAAAATTGGAGAATCATTCTGACTTTTGTCTTCTTCTCATTATTTAATATTTGCCTAGATATTATGAATGTTGACTCATAATTTCTTTGAATCTCTAATCAAACTTTAGGTAAATCATTATAACTTAGATGCAGCTATAATTTTTAAAATTCATTTTAACATGTGAAAACTCTCTTGCATTTTCTTCTAATTGAGAGACCATACATACTGTCTGGTAATTAACTATTCAATTAAGAGAGGAAAACAATTAACAAAGTATGAAGTAGTATAATACATTATGCTGTCTTATTGCAATAAACACATCTTACCTCATGATATCGTTGTATCATTTTGCCCTTTTGAACATCCCAAATAAAAGCACCATTTCGGGAAGTTGCTCCAGCAATACAATTTAAATCACCTTAGGGAACAATTAGTTAGGCATTATATTACATATTTGTCACAAATGTAATTCTTTCCAGAAACATAATTTTTGAAAACATAAGACTTGAGATTTCTAATATAATAGTTCTTTTTCATTTTTCTGTATTTGAAATTATAAAATGTATGCAAATATTAAAAAAATAATGCAATGAATGTATCCATTATAAAGCTTCAACAGTTATCAAAATATGATCAATGTTTTATTGTTCAAAGTGCCTGCTGGACTGGCTTGGAACGAATTTCATATTGTTTTATTTTATCACTAACTGCTTTCATCTATCTAAAAGACAGGGACTTTATTATCAAGATCAAACATCGTGGACGG